ATGACATGAGCTAAGACTTACATGCATGTTAAGATGTCTAAATCTACGCCATATCCCTTATACAAAACAAAACCCTAACGACAATTCGTTGCAATACAAGTTAGCCTGATATGTCATTAATTTAAACAAACAAACGCTGGAGTTATATTTGATATGCCGGTTTTCGCTAATTTTAGACACATTCCAAAATATGCTCCCGATTTTGAACGTTAATATCTGGGTGAATTTTTAAGTAAAATACAACTGTAATATATCAAAATCTAAGTTAGTCCTTCCTATATGTAATGCAAATTATTTCTGTTTGATAGCATTACTTGTTTAGAAGTTATTATAAATCAAACAGGAGTACTTTTTTGGGGGACACCCGGTACTTCGTCTGCCGACACCATGTTTACTCGTCCCAATCTGCATGCTACACGGCATTGCCGCTCCTCCTGGCAAAATAATAAGCATGCGAGGAAAATTAAGGAGAATATAAGAGGGTAGGAGCACCATGGGCGTTTCGTGGGCGTGTCATCGTCCTGGGCGAATCAGCTTTCGCAATCTTGTATCACATGACCAATTCAAATTGTCATAGGCGAGAAGCAACGTCACGTCATCCCTACATCACGACGCTCTCGGTGCGTCGAGGACACGTTTGTGCCATATATGGAAGTTTTGGACAGGTTTGTGCCATATATGGAAGTGTCACTGCATTCAGCTTATGCCCACGATGTTCCTACCCTCTTATTTTCTCCTTAATTTTCGTCGCATGCTTATTATTTTTGCCAGGAGGGGCGACAATGCCGTGCAGCATGTAGATTGGGACGAGTAAACATGGCGACGGCAGACGAAGTAGATGTGGAATTTGATATTCTGATCTTTTAAACATAATTATAATGCATGAGTAAGTATAATACCATTTCTAACTTGTAATTTGACAAAACTGCACCTGTCTTATTGTGAGACGGACCTTATGGTGAAGTATTGTTTAATAATAGGTATGTATTGTTTAATAGAAAAGTTGGCTTGTGTTTGGTTTGCGGTACAGCTTTTGTGTACCTAAAATTAAGCAATTAAGGTGGCTCCCTAGGGTTTTTTAATTTACTACACTATAGTATTCAGGAGATTCTTGTTTCTTTACTTTACATGATATGAAGACGAAATTTATTGGACACATTGACAATGTTCTCCTGAACATTGCAAATTGCTACTTTTGTGTTAAAAATATGTTGTCATGGCAACAGCATGTTTAGAATAAAGCTCAAAATTTGTCTTTTTCAGGTCATTTTAAAAAGTTCCTTCGGTAAAATTTTTTAAAACTTTGCATAAAAGATAATACTTGTATAATGAATTTTTCCTCTCAATTTAAAAAAATTAAATCGATACGTTTCTTAGAAAATTTAAAAAACGTCAAAAATCAATATCAAAAATTTTCCTATCGATTTAATTTTAAGAAAAAAGGATATTGCACTTGTTGTACCGATATTAAAAAATGTGCAAAGTTTTAAAAAAATTTACCGAAGGATAACGGGGAAATTTGGGATTAATTTTGGCAATTTTTACTAAATTTTTACGCGAACAATTTAATACCCCAACTGACGTGTACATGCATTCTGCATAAAACAACAAGGCATGACTTTTTTGAAATCACAAAATATAAATTATGTTTGATATACTGTTTATAACTGTGTCGGTTAGTGGTCAACTAAGAGTGGATTATACATGTAAAAATGGCAAAGATATTTAGGTAATTACCGGTTATGACTTCTTGGTATTAATTTGAAAAATGTTTGTCAAAATTCGTCCCGTGCGAGTACTATCGTCGGATGTTTTCGCAAAATGCCCGTTCAAATTTCAGTTTTTATAGCGGTATGTTTGGAGTTTCGGCGCTGCTCATTTCACCCGTAGAGGGCTCATTATTTAAGTTATCTATATTGTCATAAATGCTGCTAGATTGTGGAGAAAACACTGGAAATTCTTGAGGAAACTTTATATCCCAATGTTCACGATCGAACCTCGCGCACGGCGGTTCAAAAAACATCCAGAATACCGCTTGAAAAAAAACAAGTTTACATTATCTTCTTTTGAAACATCACATCCAAGTATCGTTTTGGCTTTTACAACTCTTTTATGCTTTCAACTAAAGCAAAGTTCACACTTTTGTTTCAAGAAAGAGTTCCATATAAAACACAACGTTCGTTCGTATTTTGAAGTCATACGAGTTTTAGTTTACATATATACGAAGAACGTAACCCCCGGAAATAAAACCCTAGGGAGCCACCTTAAGTTATAGGGTCAAACAGGTCTGTTTGTCTGCTGCGAATGAGGTAGATGTTATACAATCTACAAAGATATATTCCATAGAGTCGGGCAAAAATTTGACCATGTTGTCAGCATGGTATTATAAAATAGGTTCTCTAGACTGGACAGTTTGACGGTCGTTTCGTTGTTTATATTGTGGATTGTTATTACATAAAAGTTGTGAGGATAGATTGGCAAAAGCAGTCCAAATATCGTCCGACCCAGACATACGAATAGACCGACAAAGAAAATTCACAAAACACCGCGCGCACTAAATAAATACATCTCCTATACAATATTTCACGGTAAGGTCTACTTTCCAGACCCTGTGGAGATTATAAAAAAAACAATAACTAAATAAGGCTTATAAGAAAGTTCTATAGCGCAAAATTCCAAACCCCTGTAGAGGTCCAATTACCTATCTCTGAAACACAATATACGGGGAGGGGGTACCCAGGCTACAACTTAAAGTGGCACTTGCGTCAAAATTTATATTTTCTTAAACGAAAATGCTCTTAAAACTGTATAGTAACTTGTTTTAAAGATTTTTGTTCCCATGCTTAGTTCTTGAGATATTTCATTTTGTTTATAACCATGTGACGTCATTGACTCAATTACATAATGAGACATCTTCGCTATTTTTGGTGGATTTGTTTAAAAAAAACAGTATACTTAATTAAAGATGTAGGTTAAATTAATTTAACAAACGCGCCGCATCTTTGGAAAGATTTTGATAAAAAAATAGCAAAGATATACAACAATTACTAATATCTGATTATATATGTAATTGTCAATGACGTCACATAGTTACAAACAAAATGAAATACCTCAAGAACTAAGCATGGTTACTATTTAGTTTTAAGAGCATTTTCGTTTTGGAAAATAAAAAAAAAATTGATGCGAGTGCATCTTTAAGCTAAACTGGAAACTCCCTGATCCAGAGTAAGGCCGGAGGAGGGCTGTGAGAATAAATAATATTCTTAAGAGTGGCTACGAAAAGGAAACAATGAATCTTCCGCCCCACTCTTCAGCGTTAGTAATGTATCACTACTCCCAAAGCAAAACAGTGATATGCTCAGAGCTGGAAGGTTCGTGGGAAGTTCGCGGAATATTTAATGACTAATTCCTCGACATATCATGGTACTAGTTCTTAGTACCATGATTCGGTTCCCACCTAAAAACGGACGCGCGTGCCCTACTTGCAATTGCAAATTTAAGCTAAAACATTTGCTTGTGGGATGTAAACACTAGTTGCACATAATCGGTTACGCATGCGCAATCTATCATTTAACGCACCGGAACAAAAACAGTAAATATATTTGTATAAATTCGCAGACTGCAAGAACGTAACTCAAATGATGCAATTAACAACTCAGGGATCGGAAGATCGGATATTGACGGACCTGAGCTAACTTTTGTTGTTTCTTGCACGATTATGTGCGTGTGGCGCTTGCCTAATGCGTAGTCGTCAGGGAGACAAAAAGGGATGACCTTGCCAACTGGAAATTTATAAATCGCCCGCTCGACCAGAAATTTGGAGATTAAATTCCCGTCCAATCATGTGTTATTAGAGTAAATCACGTTTACGCGAAATTACTCAACTGAGGCAACACTTACATTTGCTTTTGTGCCTTCAAAGAACCTGATATTTCAAAACCTGTCCTCGTACTGCAATTTTCGGCAGCAAGATTTGGGCAATGAAATCTTAGTCTTAGTTTTGTTTATACAGTAGAACCCCGCTAACTCGAACCCCCAAGGGGAACGAGAAATTCTTCGAGTTAGCGGGGTTCGAATTAACCGGAGTTGGTGTCAGATTTCGTTTATTATGTTAATAATTAATAAGGTATAAAAGTTTTATTATACTGTTCATCAAAATTAAAAAAAGTTTAATTGTGCATTTCTATAACTAAAGTTCTTTAGTCAGTATCTTTTTAACTTGGGTGATGGAGGAGGCGTGCAAGTTCCATGCAAACTAAAGTTCTTTGGACAGGAAAAATATGTAGAGATTTACAAAAGGAACTAAAAAAACTAGATCAACAACAATCGTCGCAACTATGTGTATAATCGTTTAAAATTTATGATCATTTATACACCGATTAAATTGTTATTATTTGAATAAAATCCAAGTTATCGGTTGTCAAAATGCTATGTTCTGACAGTTTAAGGTTTGCCGATCCACGACTCGAAAACAAAGTTCGAGTTAACGGGATAAATTTGACCAAGGGAAAACAAAATGTGTTCGAATTAGAGAGGAGTTCGAGTTAAGCGAGTTCGAGTTAAGCGGAGTAAATTACTATAAAAAACAGTGTCAGATCCAAGGGGAATTGGATTTAGTTCGAGTTAGCGAGGAATTCGAGTTAAGCGAGTTCGAGTTAGCGGGAGACTACCGTACTTTGTATTTTTCACTGTGGAGACATGATTCGTGACCAAGTACGCATTCTATATCCATGATTTCTATGATTTAGTCTTTTTTCGCCAACGCAAAGGGAAAACAAAAGTTTGTGCACATCTCATCACGTTTTAATTCAATTAAAACAAAATTTGGTCAATGTGTCATATCGCCACGCCTATAATATCTACAAATGTTTGTACTCAACCTTTTAATGATTTTTATTGTTCTACTGAAGGCAAACTCATACAGGCACACGTGGTAAGCATCGGGTACAAACAAACAAATCAAGGTGAAACACCGTTATAAACATTTCCATATTTCGTAGGTATTGTGAGTGCACTTAATTTGAAGATCAATCCAGATTCTCGGAACATCTCATACAGAACAGAGGAAGAAGACGACTCTGGAATTCATCATGCTTATTATGACGTTAAAGAAAGAAACTTTACCAAACTACACCTCATAAAGAAGTGGAGCAGTGATGATTACCTTAAACATGCGGGCATAGAGGGAAACCAGCACAGAAAAAGTCATTATTATACCTCTTTAGAAATTAAAGACGGTGCAATACAAAATGCAAAAAGAACGCATTTTTCTTATTTATGGAACAAGAAGCCATACATTCGACCTCTAAACAAACCTGAATTTCAACGACAGCCTGATTTAGAGTTAAAAGCATCCGGAGAAAGCCATCTTAACCTCCTTAGCTGTGTCAGTCAAGGTAAAAAGAGAGCGAAACGATCTTCAGAGAGGCTGCATCTTTCTTTGAAAAGTCTCAAACAAGACACGTTAAGTAATAGCGGAATGGATCACTCAAAATGGTCGTCGATTGGTTACCCTGATAAACCGAGCCGTACATTTTACGAGTTACTTCGATGTTATTCCGACCATTCTGTGAAAGAAAGCGAACTATCGCAGTGTATCAAGGAGCTTCACTATCTTGCTAAAACTGATGACGAAATTTTTACAACCATAGTTAATTTGACGTTCCAAAGATCTCATCTAAATTTCTCGACATGGTCTGGTCTGGTTGGGTCTATTGTTGTCCGAGGAGATTATGAAACACAGAGGATTTTAAGCCAAATAATCTTATCTGAGAAACCACGGCCACTTTTGGATCAAGAATATGCAAAGCTTTTGGAGGCGGTATACTTTATCCCTGCAGGACCTCTGTACCCAGAACTGTTGCAGGCTCTGTTGTCTCTTCATAAAAATTCTAATAAGAGCGATGATATAACTGTTCGCGCTATGTTGGTGACATCAGCTTTAGTGCGGAAGTGTCACGACGCTGGTTACAATAGATCGTTGTCAGAAAGCATTGCTCGGCATTTACACAAAAGTTTCAAGACACATCCAGCTCGATTCCATGACGAAGAAAGCCCTTCCCACGAAGGGTATATATGGAGTCACGTATGTGCTGTCGGAAATTTGGGTCACATTTTGTCCCTTAGCTTGATAACTAGATACTTGGACCACGATAATTCAGGTATTCGATATTTTGCAGTTTCAGCATTAAGAAAACTCCCAAATCAGTACACTGATCATCACTTACTACGAATTCTTCGAAATGACGAACATAAAACGGTAAAAGCAGGAGTGATAGAGGTGTTCATAGAACGGCGTCAGAATCTTACTGAGGAATTGAGTGATGCCATCGAAGATACTCTATGGACATCTGAAGAAGGTGACGAACTAGATTCAAAGATTATTGAGTTTCTAGAAAACCAAGACGAAGAGTCGCATCACAAGCTTAAAAAACGGAGGTCCATTATTCAGCGAAAGAAAAGGGCACTTATTCCAATATTAAAGCCCAGAGAGTTTTCTTTGGGGGTACAAAGGGAATGGAGCAGAGCATTCGGTGGTGGTCAAGCTGGTGCAGAAGCCATCATGCGATTTGTGAACCAAGTCAAACTAAGAGTCGGGATTTTTGGTGGGAATTTTGAAGTAAACTTGGATAATTTGGCATTGTTTCGAGCTCACGTGTTCATATTGAGTTTCGATATAGTCAATGCAAAGGCGGCATTCAAGATGGGGGCAGGATTTAAGAACGATATCCCTAAAGATTTGATTCACACCGTCGCCGATACTGCTGATGGTATTTTAGCAAAAATAGATGGAATTTCAAGTATTTTCATCGAACATATTCAACGATTTCTCGACAAGCTGAAGTTTTATCTACCATTTATTCCTGATAACTTCCTGGACTTTATTTCCGAAACCGTCAAATTTCTTAGCCGCACAATTCAAGTTACACGCTTTGGAAAAATTTTTAACCGAATTGTGATAAATCTTCGAAGCGCGTGGAGTGCAAATGAATTTTGGAGACGAATCGGTGATTTGGTCAAAAAGCTTTCCCCAAACCTTTCTGAAATAAATCTATCGAACGGGTCCTTTAGAAGAGCGTTTCATTTTCTCAATAAGCTTGCAACTATTTTCTCACGACGAAGGTATATGCTTCCGCGAAATTTTCCACCAAATTTTAATATAAAGAAATTGTTAATCCACATTAATGGGTTATCTCACTCGACTAGTGATGCCGTCAAAGACTATTTCGAACAGTTAGGTTTTGGTTTTCCTAATAATTTCTTTAAAATGTTTCATTTTAACGTCACGCTTAATTTCATCCAGAATTTGGACAAGTTTAAAATTACAACGTTGCGTTTGGTGCATTTTGCAAACAGCTTCCTGGATATGCTTTCTGTTTTCCGAGATATCTTTAGCATTGACCTACCACGACTGTATGTACCGGAATTCAATGCAGGTGCGAACAATGACAAAGTTTTCGACTTTGGTTTGCCTTTTGACTGGAGAATAACATTCAACTTTGGGATTAATTTTTCGGGCTTGGACTTCGAAAAATTTAGGACCTTATTTGGTTATTTAACAGATGTTTTTCTGAAATTGAGCAATCCAAATGTAAACTTTGATCATTTTTTTATTGAAATGCTGCCAGTAATGAAAATTAAGCTTGAGTCTGAAAAACTACTTGTGGATACAAAGGATTATAACCCAGCAAAATGGTTGCAACTTGTTATTAAAGACTTCCACGAACTTTCACGCCAGTTACACAGGAAATTTTACGACCTTAGCAACACTGCCAGGTTCTTAGACGAACTTTCAAAGATCACGAAAGACCTCTCGAAAGGGGCACTCGCGAATGTTTGCAAGGTACAAGAATTCATGTTAAAATCAGGAGGAGTGTTAGAAGTCTTCGGAAAAAACCTTGAGAACGATATGATTCTCGGAATCAGAAATGTTAAAAATGAAGCTCAGCAAGTTATAAGAGAAGTCATTAACATCTCATTGTTTGTGGATGAGTTTATTGACGAACTAAAGCAGAATATATCAGCTACTACGAAAACATTTGTTGAGCAATATTTAAACGCATTAGAAGGCTCTTTAGAAAATGTTAAGATACTTGGGGATATCACAATGGAATTCTCAGTGAACTCAAAAGAAAAATTGAGGGGACTTTGTTATAAAACGGTGCATATGTCCGGTCACATTTTGGATAAAATTCAGTCCGAAGCACAAAACGCGGTCGAGGAAATAGTTAATTTTTTTACATCTAATCCAAAAGGACTTCCAAACGTTATTGGCCAATTCAAAATAGTCATTCAAAATCTGGAAAAGTGGCATCATCAAAATTTAGAGAAGCACCTGGGCAAGGTTGCAATCATTAGTCAAACAATCGACGAGTTCTTATCTTTAATCAAAACTGAAAACAACATTTTTTCCGACATTCATAAAGTTTTCAGGGACATAAACAATGTCATTCAACACCTGAACAATCTTCCTGCGCATGCCCAGAAAGCGTACGACGTAGCGGATAAGATCAACGACTTTGTAACAAATGCGCAGCGTTGGGAAGCCGAATTTGGCAAACTCAACATCCGACAGAAATTTAAACTGGACTTCGACAAACAGTTACAAAAACTTTGCAATAAATTTAATTCCTTTGCTGAAAATACCATCAGGGAATTTCGGGGCAAAGATCTGCTTAAAACATTCCGTGAATTTGTTACCAAAGAAACTGACTCCCTTATCTTTCAAACTGTTGAACAATTAACCATTATAAAAACATCTCTGGAAGTAGCCCGGAACGATCTAGAAGAAATGTCGAATTCGGTTGAAGGTATCGAATCCGTGTTACTAGAATTGCGACAATTCCCCAAACATTTTTCCCCATTATTGCAGGAAATTCAGAAGTTACCAAACTGTTCAGACATTTGTTTTATCTTCAATGACTTAATCAAAACATGTGGGAGAGAAGAGATATCATTCGGGAAACCGGCCTACAATGAATATATAACCATGAAATCTGAAGTTAAAGCGTTTTTAGAACTGTTGCCTGACGAATGGGAAAGTTTGCGTTTGCAAAAATGCATTTCTGGAGGAACTTGCTTGTCGAACTCATTCAAAAAGCAAGCCCAAAGCGTTTCCAATACAATGGAGAAACTTAAAAATAAATTTAATGATTTTACCTTTGTGGATAAATTAGAAATCTGTAGAGATAAGGCGGAGGAAGTATCACAAATTTTCGAAAACGCAAAGAATATTTGTAAATTGGTAAAGGAGTTTTCACTCAAAGAAGAGGTTATAAATGCGAAGGATTTGTCCCAAAGAATCACGGGCAGGTTTCCGGGCAATGATGACGACTATGAAAGACAAGTAAGTAATATCCATTCTTTCCTTTTCTTGAGTGAAACATGCACCTAGCAGTGTAGCTTATTCGTTTTGCAAACATTGCTTTACATTCTTTTTGTCTTATTAAATTATTATTATTAAACTTTATTTAAAGAAAGTTAATTTACAAGAAAATATGCCGGTTTAGCTTCCGCTAATCTTCCACTGGACCTTCTAAAATTAACTATATAATTAAATATATTTACATGCAGTACAATTTACATTTCTACAGACTACAGTATACATAATTACATCAAGTACATATCGATATAGGTATAACAACTCGCTTTTGGCGAGTGTCAAGTTTCCGCATTGCTCGTTGGTTTTTAGCTTTGACTTTACTCCATTTTTTGTTTAAGTTCAATTGTTTGCCAAAATAAAAATTTCAACGTGGATACATATACGTATTATTATTGGACATTCGGTATTTATCTAGTTAAGTAAACTACAATGCGCGCGCGTTTCAACTATACAAGTTCTATGATTAAAATACCGTCCAGCATTGTACATTGTATTGTAACTGCTTATAGGCCGTTTGCTGCGTCCTGATATCGTTCACTTTCATTAAGCATGTCTTGAAACTGAAATATTTTTACGGGAACTAACACTTTCAAGCACGCTGAGTTTGAATCCGAAAAGTTCCCACTCCGTAGACCCGCAGTTTTTTCACAAAAAGCTATTTTATATTCACTGATTTCACAACAATTTTTTTTATTGTTCAACGACACGGATCGATGACGCCACACGATTATATCACTCAAAACAACCAATTTCTATTAACCAGTCTTCCTTTTAACAAAAGACCAGTTTTGTCCGAATTATTTTGAGTTATGTAATCTTATGCGTGTTGCACGTAAACAACATATCTTGTCTACAACTTTGAGAAGGTACAGATAACGCCTTCTAAAATCCTCAGTTCTAGCGATATCTCTGTAAAATCACAAGGACGTTAATGCTAAGTCTTTTGGCTATATCACTGGCCTGAAAATAACTAATTTATTAACGCGATCAAAGCATTTAAAACAAAAGTAATGCGAAGCCAACGTAACGCAAAGACAACGCTAAAGTGAAACATTGTCGATTGGTTGCTAGTAGAAGACTTACGACAGGATGAATCTTAAATAATCTTAAACTAGGGGAATAACTGTTCATATCAAAGACAAAGACCAGTGCCAAAGTATAAAATCTGCTCTGTAAACTTACGACGAAGTGGAGAAATGTGTGCATAAGCTGTTTATTTGGTGATTTCAACTTATATGGCAGCCCTATTTCCAATAATATTCGCTTATCGCACAGAATAACACCAACTGATATAATAGTTCAAATGCAATGATAAGTTACCGCTCGAATTATATCTCAGAAACTGTGTTGGAAATGGAAATGCTGACCCATTCCATACGATTACCGTTTTACATCGTTGTATAAAACATTTTGATCGCATGTAAGGAATTATTTCTCATCCCAGAGATATAGCCCAATGACTTAACATTGACGTCCTTGTGATTTTATAGAGATACAGCCAGAACGGGGGATTTTACAAAGCGATATCGGTACCTTCCCAGAGTTGTAGACAAGATATGTTGTTTACGTCCAACACGCTTAAAATTACATAACTCAAAATAATTGGAGCAAAACCGGTCTTTTGTTCAATGTAGAGACTGGTTCATAGGAATTAGTCATTTTGAGTTATGCAATCGTGTGTCTTCATCCATCCGTGTCGTTGAACAATGAAAAAATTTGTTGTGAAATTAGCGAAAATAAAATAGCAGTTTGTGAGAAAACTGCGGGTCTACGGTGCGGGAAGTTTTCGGATTTGAACTCAGCGTGTTCGAAAGTGTTAGTTCCCATAAAATATTTCAGTTCAAAGACATGCTTCATGAAAATCGGCACTTTTTCATAGGCACTTTGCGAGGTCACAGCAAACGGCCTATTATAGCATACAGCTATTTCAATTAAAGTGTTTATGAAACGGCTGAAAATGTTTTCTGAAATTGTGCTGATTTTATAGTCTAAAGTACGCTGAATATCATGCTGTATCCTATTTTCGCCCCGCGATTTTTAAAGTCGACTTTTCAAGCTACAAAGTTCAGCAATTCGGCTATTTTTTGTCCCGTGGTCTGAGCCCGTGTGGCAACAGCGCGTGACGTCACTGGTTGTACACACATGTTGACAATTGACATTCTCATTATAAACAGTAAAGAACATTTGTATTATCGTGCTGTATAAAATATTTTATCGTGATTTCTACTCTTTTACTATGTCGCACAGCGAAGATTCTTTTAGTTACTCTAGTTTAGAGTCTGATAACATAACGGAGAGCAATTTAGAAGGAAATATGAACGTAACGAATCGTTTTGAGCCGTATCAAGGGGAACAATTGTCAGTACAGACGACAGCGAATCTTCTGATGAGGAACAGGACGAAGATTACATTTTGCCATCTGTTTTGGAGAAGCGTTTAGAAAAAAATATTCCATTAGCAAATTGGTACGTTTTACAAACAATACTAAGTTACTTTATTATGATTTTCATACAACATTTGCCTTATTATTTATTTCTTTTGTACTGTAGGTGCTCGTGTGGGAATTGTGGCGATCAAAATCTGGTGATTGCTCGTTAGTACTGTTGCTGCAAAGAGATTGTGGAAGTAACTGGAAAATTTACTTGGATTGGCAAGAATATTGAATATATCCTTAATCATCCTGACTTCAATGCTATGACAAACGAGAAGTGAAGTTGAGCCTCTTCTAAAAAACAAACATCGAAGCTCCCACAGAATAAAAAATGGCGCAGTTTAAATATACATATACTTCGGTTGTGCGTATTAATTCTGACTAGTAGCGAAAGTAAAACAACTTTTTAAGGTTTTATAACAAGGTTTATAACAAGGTTTTATAAAGATGAATTTGTATCGTTATAGGATTACTCAGAGCGGTGTTATATCGTCGGCTGGCCAGATGGCTGTTTGGCTTGATGGGCTGGGAGAACACCAGACCCTTGTCACCATGCATTCACCATCATATTATTCACCATCATATATAAGGACTGTATTTTGTACTGGTGATGCTAAGGGGTATATATCTAGAGAACAGCGAGCGGATAAAGATAACTGAAGTGACTATTATGTAAATATTTCATGACATAAAACCCAAAGAAAAGTATTATCATCAAATCTGTAATGTGTATTAATATTTTACATATTTAAAAATGTTGGAAGCGAAACCAGGATTCATAATTAATTGTGTAAACGTTTGCACAATTAGTTTTACATATTGCCCACTTTGAGATCCCTTGACTGAAATGTAAATACACCAAGTCCAGGTTGACTCTGTATCTTCTGAAGTCTGAATCTTCCAGACAAAAGTTGAAACTAACCCAGGTAAAGTATGCTTACCTATTTATAAACTAACCTGGGTTTATTAAAAAAGTTAACCTTTGTCAAACCTGGTTTTGTTTTTGTAGTGTAAATCAGGCTTTAAAGTCCCAGAAATTCCTGGCTTATGAGGGGCTGGAGGAGGGGGTACACTGACTGATGCATAATTCTGTTCATACAACAATATATACAACAACCCTCTTAACTATTTACAATATTTGCAAACAATGAAAATATACAGTGAACAGACCAAGTCTGGAGCATCGTGTGGACAGTATATTCGCGGGTGACCTTCACTGGTGCTTTGCACTTCCTGTCTTGCTTCTCTCTTTGGCGGTGAGAGATTTCCTGTTGATTTCCGCTTTTCTGCCTCCAATAATGCTGCTTGTTCTGCAACTAAAAATAATTCATCAAATTATTATATAAGTTATATCAAAAGAATAATAATGTTATTTGTTGTCTGCTTTACATGATAATATTTGTGTTGTGTTAACAATTATTCGCCGAAGGCGAGGTGATTATCGGGGAATATTCGCAGAGACGAAGTCGAGGTGAATATTCCCCGACAATCACCGAGCCTGAGGCTTGTCAATGGAAAAGCTCAGCAGCTTAATGGGTTAAAAATGATTTTCTTTTACCTGAGACTTGTCTGCATCAGAGAATTACCTAACTGGCGCCCAACATATTGTGTTTACACCAGATACTATACCTGGCTAAAGCAGTGCATGAGACCAATCAAAATAGATTATACATACACATAACATCAAGTACTGACTTTGAAGAAGTAAATTAACATGGAACTTGGCTTCAATTGAGTATTGACCTGCATGTATTTAAACTATTAAAACCATACCACTTGAGGCAAACTCAATTTAACAACACATTCCAAATACTTTTATGTCTTCCATATTCACATCTACATATTAAACTATAAAAATGTAGCATGAGAGGCTTTTATTTCATGTTGTTCACTTGCCTTTGGTGGCGAACTAATTGATAGCAACAAATATTACTATTATACACAGTGTAAGCGGGTCTTTATAGAGTTATCTGGTTTTTGCCGTGAAGAGTATTGAATATTTAGATTATGTCAATGATGGATATGTAACAGCTTCAAAATGCCGCAAACGAACAATTTATGCATATATTTACCTGTCTTCTCTCACGAGCTGAAATCGCCTGAACTTGTGGTCCTGAAACAACGCAATCTAGACTAGATATCGCGCCTTTCTTCAGCCATCTCTTAGTCGTGAATTTTTCAGGTTCTTGTGGATTAAAATCAAGCCGTTGTTCAAAATCTGTGACCATGAAATATGCTGAGCAAAGCACCGCAGTGCTTGATGGCTGCCATTGCGGACGATGTCTTTGGACAAAACAAGCCTATTTTGCTCGGACAGAACTATCGCTAGGGAAGCGATGCATCGAAATTCCTTCTGTTTTCGAATTGTTTTTGCAACTGACTTTTCCAGGTCCGCCTGCAACGCAATACTTTCCAAGAGATTTCCCTTTCGCTCGCCTGTTTTGAGTCTCGGCCATGACAATCACCTTTGGAATGAACGCGCGAGTACAACCTGTGACGTCATACCATCAATTTGACCGCGCCGTGAGATGGGACAAACAGAGATCATAGATGGCACAATTTGTAGCTTAAAGAACAACTTTAAAGAATTGCGGGGCGAAAATAAAATACAGCATGATATTCAGCGTACTTTAAACTATAAAATCAGCACAATTTCAGAAAGAATTTTCAGCCGTTTCATAACTCCTTTTCACCACGGCCCAGTGTCGTCGTTCAGCACTGAACGATTGCAAGAAATTTAATATCTTCGGTAAACAAGCACTTTAAGGTTGTCCCTGAGCAAAACGTAAAAGTCGAGTACGAGCGCGAAAGGTTTGCTGGGAATCGCTAAAAATAATTAATTTTAACGATTCTCAGCAAGCCTTTCGCGCTCGTATTTCAATAGCTGTATACAATAGGATCAGTAGGTCTTGAACTGTCCCTTCGAGATTATACAATAGCACAATTTTAAAACATGCCGATTACGAAAAAGGGGAGAGGCTGAACTAAAGATTTAGTTATATGATTTGTGTTGTGAGAAAATACTCAGGACCTTACGCACCGAACAACTAGTGTCTTTATGATTTCAAATCACAACGATAGTACAAATTTTTTATGTGACCTGTTGATCTTTTTAGGCTAGATTCTGTAATGGCGCAGTATTGCGTATAATCATCAACATGACATATTTTATTTTTGGGAACCTAGGTAAAAAAACGCTCTGCTTCCCAGCGTATTAAAACGAAGAACATTGCCGAACATATCAGAAGAGCCAACGAAACTCAAAATATGATTAGAAAGTTGATTGAAGAGGTTTTCAGTGGTTTGGAAAAAGTTTCTGGGGACAATATTGAGCCTTTTCAGACAAAACTTAAGAGTGTCGAGCAACGAATTACCGCCTCGTTTCAATTGGCCAAAAAGTCTGCAGGAATGCGTCCGATTCTACAAAAGCTTGGACCAATTGTTAAGACTATGACTGATTTCACCCAAACGTGCCATAACATTGTTGATCCATTAGAAAATAATATTTTAGATGTGCTTTTTAAAACGTCAGATTTTGTTGACATTTTTGAACGAAAACTGAAACATTACGGTGAAACTGTTAGAGAAGTTTCGGAGGAAATAAACGCAATCGTTGACAGGGTAACATCGTTTCTTTATACGGTACAGTTACGTCAAAAAGGATTGGATATCAGGAAGTACCAGTACCAACACTGTTCTGCAGAAGTTTGCCTAAGATTACTACGAAGATCTTCAGCGCTCTATCTCGAGAAAATATTCTTGTGGAAGTATCCGCACTTGGATGATTTATCTTCGCTGTCAAAAACTGGCAAGTGGCTTGTACCAGGCCTCTTTGATGATTACAAGGTACGTGGTATTGCTCAACTGTCTAATGATGAAATACTACTGGGCATGCGTGGTGTGGTAGCTAATGCGGAAAAAGCTTCACTTTTAGTGGTAGTTGATATAACATCGTCAAGTGGCAAAATCCTTAAAATACTCCAATTAGAAAAGAATGGTGTGCCTTTTCAAGGCGAAATGGGTGGTGTAGTGGTGGTCAAATCTATTATTTGTATAAGTAGTGGTGACAGTCTTTACGGTGTTCGCTTATCGGAAGTTCGTAATAGCATGTCTTCGAAACGTCCTTCAACCATCAGAACTAGTAAAACAAAATCTCTTCACTATCAAACCATATCAATTTCATATGATGACCGCGATAATATAATTTGGGTTTTGGGAAGCAATAAAGCACAAAGCTATGACGTCAGTCCATTTGGAGATATATTGCTAGAGAAAAATTCCATCATTACTGAGGAACATACACGTGGATTTACTATTGTGCGACAGTATGGTATCAAATATGCATGCGTTGCCAAGTGCACCTTAGCTGCAGGTTTCCAGTGCCGATTGGAATTCCACAAAATCAGCGAAAGAGTTCTCGACGACTCAACTCTTCTAAGGGTTGTGCGAACACCCACGGGTCTGGAGGCGATCCAAACAGTCGACATAGAGCACGTCGTCGCGGCGTTTTCCGCCGGAACATTCTCGGAAAAAGACAAAATTCAACGTATTGGGGGAGATTTTGAAGACCGATATTTTAAGTTCAAAGTGCCGGTTCTAAAAACAGAGTTTTCAATAACCGAGAATTGTCTTTATTTCAAAGTGGGATGGGAATGGCTAATCCCTCGCCAGCGTTTATTTGCATTTGGTGAGATGAAATGCGGTACCCGTAGAAAACGACGTGCTCTAGAAAACGCCGTGGATAAAGACGTATACACAGAAGAACTGGAAAATTATCGCCGAGTCCGACGACAAACAACTGAAGAAATGCCTTGTATGTGGGATATCGAAGGAAAACCTTTTACTGGTAATTTTATATTCAAATTATTAATCGTTATCATCAAATTTATAGCATATTTAAATTGTTTTTCATGCCTACAGATTTTTAGTTCAAATGTCCTAGCTTTAATATCCATTCAGAAGTACCTAATTTCTTCAAAATAAATCAACATTTTTGGAACAAAACTTATTTTACTAAGGCAGCAAATGCATATTTCTGTCGCTTTAAGGCGGCTCGATACAGTAATCTTTACAAAATCCCTTATACAAGAACCGCAAAAACAAAACTTGATACTATATAATATGAACAAACCCGCTTGATCATTCAAGTATGTGGTGAGTTACTCATGCTATTCGCGCTATTGCGCGAGCTGTATTGCGTGTTGCACATCAACTGCAGACGTCGTCAGAAAAACAGTATCCCATTATATGGGCTATGTCTCAAATTGTGCACGCTGTATTGCATTACAAGAGTTTTTAATTATGCAAAAATTAGAAAACTCCGTAATGCAAAATAAATGTTATCAAAAAACATTTTAGCTTTTTAAAGAAAATGCCATTACAGAAATTTTTACATTTTGTATATTGTTAGTAAATTTATGCACAAAAAAAAAAAGCTGAAGGTCACCGTGCTTCTTTTCCAACTATGCGAAGAAATAATACTCGCACGCACGCGTATGGCTGCTTGTATAGTTTGAAAGAAAAAACATTTAAAGTGCCTATGACACGAAATTTAACCCCAAAGGTTTATGGCTGCATTGTAAAGATCACTTAAAATGACTTAATAATTTCTTTTATAGAATTTTGGTAACTTGCTTCCTTTTCAAGATATTCAACTTTGTTTCGTATGCAAATATCACCGGTGTGACATCACATCACCTAATGAGTTTTCAGAAAAGTATAGTTTTCTTGACGAATACGTATCTAAAAAACTTAAAAATTGCCCTTGTATATGTATGTGTTTCATAACTGGTCATTAACCCTCTGTATTTGTTTGTAAAAATATTTTATCAAGGTAAAATATTGCGTTTTCAAAATCTCATTATGCTATGTGATGTCACACCGGTGATATTTGCATATGAAACAAAGTTGAATATCTTGCAAAGGAAGCAAGTTATCAAAATTCTATAAAAGAAATTATTAAGTTATTTTAAGTGATCTTTACAATTTTTATCAATAAACTTTTTTATATAGATTTAGACAAATATGATAGCGATAACAAATTTATTAAAGAACGTTGACAAAACTAGAAGTCCATGGGTAACAAATTGCATTGCTAATTCAATTAATAAAAAGAACAAGCTCTACAAGAGATACCTACGTCATCCTTCAGCAAGCAATGAAAGTAAATACAAACAATATAAAAACAAATTGAATCATATCATAAAAATAACAAAGAAAAAATTTTATGAAGAACAACTGATAAACTACAAGCATGATACAAAATTACTATGGAAAACACTAAATGAGATAATGAATAAACGCAAGACTATCAAAACACCCCCCAAAGAATTTATTGGAAATAGCCCTGAAGATATTATAAGTGATCCACACACCATAGCGAATAAGTTCAATGATTATTTTGTGAATGTTGGACCAGGAATAGCAAGAAAACTTCCAAGTAGTGAAAGGTCCTTCAAAGATTATTTATCTAATAACAATAAAGAAAGCTTTTTTCTTGAACCAATCACAAAACACGAATTAGAAATTGACATAAGAAATTTAAATGCTAAAAAAAGTCCAGGTTATGATGGCATAAGCTTACAAGTCATCAAGAAAATTGCTAACGAAATCTCTGAACCTCTTTCACACATATTCAACTTAACCTTTCTAAGCGGAACTATTCCAGATAAATTAAAAATAGCTCTAGTTACTCCAATTTATAAAGCAAATGAAAAAAATGAATTCAAAAATTATAGACCAATATCTGTTCTTACTTGTTTTGCAAAATTATTGGAAAAAGTCATGTATAGGAGATTAATTAAATTTATAGAAAAAAGTAAAATATTAAGCAAGCACCAATATGGTTTCAGAGAAAATAGATCTACTGAGCTTGCAGTCATTGAACTTACCGATAGAATTACTAAAGCGATTGATAAAGGAGAATATACAATAGGTATATTCCTCGATTTGTCAAAAGCATTTGATACTATTAATCACAAGATTCTGGCCCAAAAATTAGAACATTACGGCATACGTGGAGTTACTCAACTATGGTTTGACAATTATTTAACAAACAGAAAACAAATTGTCAAGTACAATCAAACTAGGTCAGAAGAAATGACAATTAAAACAGGTGTCCCACAGGGTTCAATCCTTGGACCTATTTTATTTTTACTTTATATAAATGATATTGAACATAGCAGCAATTTACTTTCGTTTATACTGTTTGCAGATGATACTAATATCTTTTATAGCAACAGCTGTCTTAAATCACTAAATAAGGTCATACAAGAAGAGGTGAATAAAGTTGCAGAATGGTTAAATGCAAATAAAAAAACCAAATATATTATATTCAGATCTACAAACAAGAAATTAAAACAAAATGTAAAAGTTAGCGTAAATAATGTAAACATAGAACATGTCAAATGCACAACCTTTCTTGGTATAACAATTGATGAGTATTTGACTTGGAATAATCATATAACTGAGGTATCCAAGAAAATCACAAGAGCCTCGGGAATAATAGCAAAAATAAGACACTTGATAAACAGAAATTCACTGAAGCTAATTTATTACACATTAGTGTATCCATATCTTATTTATGGCAACTTGATTTGGGGTAATACCTACAAAACCCGAATTCAAAAAATATTGAATATTCAAAAAAAAATTGTGCGTTTGATAACCTTTACTCGGAACATACAGAACCTATATTCAAAGAATTACGCATTTTAGATATTTTCAAAATAAATGATTACCTAACTGCTTTGTTTATGTATCGATACTATTATCTTAAAAATTTACCAGAAGCATTTGAAAATTATTTTATAACAAACAATGAAATTCATAACTACAATACAAGAAATGCAACAAAACTACACAAGTGTTGTAAAAGAACTAATTATGTCATACATACTCTTTCTAACAAAGGGGTTAATCTATGGAATACATTAGATACAAAATTCAAAAGATTAAACTCTTACAATGTCTACAAAAGATTAATCAAACAACATGTTATAGTGAGCTAGATCTTCTTCAACTTATATGCAATGACCACAGATGTACAGCAACCGTTAATTCTATAGCGAAAATTGTGTAATCTTGTAACTGTATATTATGATATAATATCCTTCTTTTGTAAATAGTATATACTTTTAGGTCTTACTTCAATAATTACTCTTCACTGTAAATATATATGCAATTTTTTTTTAAACCTAACTAGTGGCCTATATTAAAAAGCCTGAAAAGGTTTCCAGTAGGTCTCTAGCCCAACACCTTCAAACTACACATAGTATTTGTTACTTATTATTGTACATACACATGGGAAATAATTATATATTGATTGAATAATTATATATTGAAGTCATCTTGACCTCATTTTCAAGTTCAAATTATAACAGAAAACGATTAAATTAATATAGATAGCGTTTACATAATTGCGCAAGCAAACTAATTCGTCATACATGACAGTTGCAATTTTAAACTTAATTAACATAATTAGAATAATTAAACATACAAATTGATAACAAACAATTAAACAAACAATAAAACAACACTAGACGAACAATTATGCTAATATAGAATGTTAAGTAAATAGTTTTGAGAGTATCGAGTCCGATTGTTTGTTTAAACTAGGTTTAAGATCTTTAATATATAACATTTCATAGAGTAAACACTCGAACTTTCCCCGACATTTTCTCAATACCTTAAAGTTTTTCCCGATGTTCTTTGCGTCCTCGCCATGCTGTTGAACCATATGTTCTCCGACAACCGATGACTTGTGTTCCTCAATGCATTGATGTAAGTGTCGGCAAGTGTAACCGGCATAATCTGCGTCGCACAGATCACATTTGAATAAGTAAACAACGCATTGCTGATTCACAAGGGGTGGTTTCGTTTCTGCTGCTGGGAAGTCTGTGGCAATCTCTCTGCATGTGTAGACTGGTTGTATTTGTCTAGCGGTAGTCTTGCTGAGGTTACGCAGCTGTCGCCTCACCGAGTCTGCTGATTTCTGGTCTTTAAATGGTAGCATTACACGTATCACGTTTTCTTTGGTGTTCCTTTCCTCGGCTGGATGATCGTCGCTTTCGCGTTTCTGTTCAGTGTACTTCGTTATGATGTTGTCAAGCAGGGATATAGGATATCTGAGACGAACGAAGGTTT